GGGGTGTGGATGTAGGTTCTGTGTGTGGGGGGTGTGATATCCAGGTAATGTGTGTGTGTGTGTGTGTGTGTGTGTGTGTGTGCGCGTGCGATCGATCTCTGGGTATCGGGGGGAGAGGGGGTGTGACATCTCGGGGTATTACTGTGTGCATTAGGGGCAGGGGCAAGGAGGGTGATCTCCAGGTATTACTGAGTGTGTGTGCGTGTGAGAGAGAGATCTCCAGCCACTTGTGTGTGTGCGCGCGTATGTGTATGAGATCTCCAGGGGGTAGGTTGTCAGGACCTATGCGGACAAGGTTCTTTGGGTAAATCTGTTATTTTATTAGACCAACTGAAATAGCTGGAAAAAGTCTTCTTAGCAAGCTCGTGTATAAATACCCTTCTTCAGGCTGAGGAAGCATCTGCAGTTGGACTTATGACACAATATAACCTGCCTAACATTTGATGCCCATGGTATTTACCACCTATTTACTAGCCACATTCCCCCTCCCCCTCAAGCCTGTGCCTCACCCACTGACTGACTCCTCAGCTTACATCTTCACTGACGCTTTCCTTCACGCAGCCCAGCCTTTTTACTATTCATTCCCTTCAGGAAGAGCACACAGCAACTGCAGGTGCATCCTCAGCCTGAAGAAGGGTATTTATACACAAAAGCTGGCTAAGAAGAATTTTTCCAGCTATTTCAGCTGGTCTAATAAAAGATATCAGATTCACCCAAGCAGCCTTGTCTGCCTATGAGATCTCCAGGTATGGGAGAGAGAGAGAGAGAGAGAAAGCTCTCCAGGTATTAGGGGATGTGTGTGTGAGGGGGAGTTTATGATCTCCAGGCATTAGTGTGTGCAGGGCATGTGCACATTTTTTACTGTGCTGGATGGCAAAAGATGAAAGGAAGACCCAGTTATGCTGAAACAGCAGTTCAAAGAAGCGCTTTTATTTTTTGAATCTCCACCTCTCCATACCTTACACTGTGAATAGCTACTTCGCACCTGAGGTTTATCTCACATTTCAAGCCAGTGTAAAAATTGGACTAGGTTGAAAACATTTCAAACCAGGCAAAAATAAATAAGTAAATAAATAAAAGCCTGTCCAAAGGCATTACAGAAACTAAGTGAAACTGTGTAATTGCTCCCGTTCTTGCAAGCTGTGCAGCTGAGCTGCCTTTTTGATCATGATCAGAAGTGTATTAGGTCCTATCTCTGCAGCTAATGCAGTTAACAGTAACTGGTTAGTTAGAACCCAGTTTCGTTTCTCATGTAGGACTGCTCTAAATCAGTGCCATAAATATTTTAAAAAATTCTGTACGGTCCTTGATACACAATTGTTAAACTTATTTGAGTGTGTAAGCAGGACAGGGTTGTCCTTTTCCTTTATGAAAACACAGCAATTGCTACCGGTGGTATCTATGATTGTATATTACTGAACCACCATATAAAGGCAAAAACTTACTAATGGGGTTTATCCTAGTCATGACTGGAGAGGATAGCTCTTGGGCAAATGAGATGAAATCAAAGAAGTCAGCCCAAGCTGAATTTCAGAATCAAATCTTGACAGCAAAGTTCTTGTGGGTTTAGTCCTATACTTCCGTAAGCTTATTTGAGGGAATCTGGAGCATTATTAAATAAAGGCTGGAATACCCCAGTGCTCTAGCAGGTGTAACAGGAACAATCTTTAATAAATTAGTAGGGAAGCTCTAGCTAAAGGGCAAGCAATTTTTTCCCCCCTAATTGTCGGGCTGTACATTTATTTGCATGTTAGCAGAAAATTAATTGAAATAACTCAGGATCAAATTTGAAATGAGCAAAAAAACTTAAGTCTGGCCTAGAATAAAAGGTATTAATATTTTTGTTTTCCTTTCAAAATATTCTGTAGTGCTGCTAAAATTTATTAGAAAGAGCTTATTGTTTCAGGTCTTGGATTCCCAGTATGGCATGTATGTTTGGCCGTGTGCCGTGGTCCTTGCTCAGTACCTGTGGTTTCACAGAAGAAAGCTACCTGGCAAGAGAGTTTTGGAGGTAAAAATGTTTTTTTTTAAATCATGCAGTATTTTTTTAAAAAAAGAAAGAATAACAGAATCAACGTTACTGTCTCTTGAGTATCTACTGGTTTTAAAATTGTGAGCTCTTTTTCAATTAAAATGAAAGCTGTATAGGACATACTTTTTTGTTTCCTCTCAGGGTTTATAGAAGTCTTGATTTATTATCATTGTTTTTCTTTTCAATTCTGTTCATGTTGCCCCAGCCAGTCTAATTTTGGATCCAACTTACATCAGAAACTTAATGCTGTGGGAAATGCTCTTATGGCATTGGAGGTTTATTAACCAGCTTGCAAATTCTTTGCATGGTGCGGTAGTGAGACCCTAATTCATGTGTAAATTTTGCAGTTAGGTATTGATGGGGTACTTTGTCCTAAATATGGCCTTCACGTTAAGGTCCATCAATTCAGTAACTAAGATGTCTGTAAATGTGGACTGTCTAGTTCACCCTGGTATCTGCTAAATAGAAATTGATAATAGATTTATATTACTATCAGGGATCCGGGTTTTCCGTTTCTCATGGGGAAAATGGAGAAAAACCATGGATTTCTCCCCTTTACCAGAGGAAAACATGGATTTCTCATTTTACTGGAGAAACCCATGGATTTTGCAGTTTTGCAGAGCTTTGTGCAGGATGCAGTTCCAGTCTGCAAGGGGCTGGGGGGAGGGCAGGCAGGCAGGGGATGCCATGTTCATGTATATGCACATGGACACGAGATAGCTTGGAGCAGCTCCCACAGGTAAGTGAGGGGAGTGGGAATTGATGCCCCCATGGTGAGGTGGGGAGTTGGGCAGGGCTGCGGTTGCTGCCCAGTCAGGCAGTGCATAGGGCTTGGGACTTACAATGTGCAGCCACAGGGCCCTGGCAGAGAGAAGGATGGGGTCACAGGTGGCTTAACCAGGGAACAGGGGCAGCTCCCCACCATTCTGCATACTCCCAGGGAGAAGGGGTAAAAATCTACTTTAGGGATAACCAAAGTGAATTTGAAGAACTGCTGCAATAGTAACAGCTTAAAATGCAAGACTCATCCATCCTTCACTGTTTAGATTGGAGCCGGTGTGTCTCTACCTGGTATAGTAGCAGCTAAATGTGGTGCAGAAGTAATACTATCAGATAGTGAAGAACTACCTCAGTGCTTGGAAAACTGTTGGCAAAGCTGTCGTATGAATAACCTTCATGGGGTACGTGTTCTAGGACTCACGTGGGGTCAGATTTCTCCAAATCTGCTCTTTTTGCCTCCAGTAGACATTATTCTGGCATCCGATGTGTTTTTTGAACCAGAAGGTAAGTCCTCATAAATAAAACGTCTAAAACTTTTAGGAAGGCAAAGTAAAACTGTGAAATAAGTGTTTGAAATAAAGATGTTGAAAACCAGATCAGGGAGGTTATTGAATACAGCCATGAGGGCTGCAAGGAACTGCTGAGCCATAAACCTTGACATTATGAGTAGTTGTACTCCTGGGTGTTGAGTTGTTTCTAGGGGAGAGGAAGGTCCAACAGAACAGCTGTAATGTTCAGCTATAAAAACATACTGGAAAGTATTAAGGGAGAGTAATATGCTATTAAAAGTTCAGTTATACAAAACCAGCCTGGTTCATAAGTCTAACTTTTAGATGTCATTGGTTCTTTATGCATTCTACTTGTGCTCCAAACATAATTTCCTTAAGATCAAACTTTGTAACATGCTGAAATGAATTCAGTGTTGTTAATCTGACCGGGCATAAATGTAACATACACAGAAGAACCAGGATAAGGTAAAATTTTAACCTCCACCAATACTTTGATACAGATTTTGAAGATGTTATAACTACAGTATACTACTTGATGGAAAAGAATCCATGTGCTCAGTTCTGGACAACCTATCAGGTCCGAAGGTGAGTATCACGAAACAATTTTTTTTTGCATTGTCAGGACTCAAAAGTTCTGTTACTTTAAATTGGCAGAGGCTTTGAGTCAGGGTCCTGCCTCCTAGAAGCCATAGGACCATATTCTTTGGATTGTAGCTGTACTGTAAATCCTTTCAATTGTGTCCGTTAGTAGTTTTTAACGGCTGCCTAACAACTCCTTTGCCTACCTAAGCACTGCTCAACTCATGGCCAAATCTTAAAAGGGTAACCTTATAGGTAACCTAAAGTGGTCGAGAGAGGACTGTTGGCAGAGAATGTGAGGTAGGAGTGATCGACTAAGCAGGAACAGGCAGTTTTGTAGTACAGTAGTGCTAGAAATGCATTTTACTTAAATAATGAACTTAGGAGTCACTGAGAGTTGTGCAAGCTCTTTTCTTTAGTGCAGAGGGGCTAGTCATTTTATCCAGTCAAGTAGAAGGTAAGCAGTACCCCTGTGCTGTTTCTTTACTACTAGGTTAGCCTTAGTCCAATCCTCATTCTGCTCTTATATTTTGACACTCAATATTGATAGTTTACTCTTTTTCAGTGGTGACTGGTCTATTGAAGCTTTACTCTACAAATGGGAGTTGAAGGCCATCCATGTTCCATTATGGTCTTTTGGTGCTGACAAAGAGCAGTTAGCTGGCTCTTCTCTTCCAGGAAGACACACAGTTGAAATGATGATCATCTCACTGGCAAGAGCTAACTATTCTTGAAGCTATGCATTTAATAACTTCTTATAAGACTGACTGTACCAAAATTTGGGGGGGGAAGAAAGAAGAAAAACACTCTCCATGTCAACAGCAACCACTACACACATTTTGGAAACTTCATCCTCTCTTAAGTCCAGAATGCGTTTAACTGTTCAGAACGTACAGATGTAACTTATGTTCCCATCACATACTCTGTAGGAAGCTGGTAGACTGCATTGTTTTAGATGCTTTTAAAATCATTGTTACCTTGGATTGGGAAAAATAAAAGCTGGAAAAAGGTTTGTTACTCCCAATTTTTTCCCAGACTCGTATCTTTATAGTTCAGTAGGGATGTTCAAGCATAGGAAAGGAAGAAGCTTCACTTAAGAGCTTCCTGACACATCACTGATGTTTGTACATGCTTAAGTTTGCAAAAAGTTAAATTCTATTTGAAATCTGAGTAAGAACTAAAAATTCTATCCCTTTTCAGGACAAGAGTTTCCTGTCGCTCCCAAGAGGGAAAACACATAAGCTCGATTACTTAACTGACTTAAGGTTATGGGAACTGAAATATTCATTTGGGGAAGAGGGTAGGAACAGTAAGGAGTTTCCTGGGCCGGTCAGATAAAGATTTTGTTCTTGTGTAACAAACTTTAAATAGGAAAAAGTGTTTTTGAGATAGTTAGCTGTTTTTATGTACCTTAGTATTGGGTTTAAGTATAAATTCATTACACTGAACCATGAACAATGCATCAAGATATTTGGTGCAAAGTGGTATTGGTGGTTGCAGTTCAAAAAACCCAGTTAACTTCCAGATCAAAAACTGCCTTCACTGCTTTGAGCTCAAAAGACATTGTTCAACAGTTAACATTTCTTTGACAAAATTAGAGAAAGCAAGTGTAAGAGTTAAAAGTTGCCTTTAACTATATGAATAGCTACCCCATTCATTGTGTTAATTTTTTTTAAACCCTATATTGTCACTGTAATGAATGACATTAGATGTTGACACTAGTTGCAGAAATCTTCAGGTTAAAAGAAGAGGCGACTCAGACATTCAATTGAGAAAAATTAACACGAAAAAAAGTTTAATATTAAACTACAGAGACAGTGGTTATAGTACAGAATGTCTTAAGCGAAAGATACACCAATCAGTTACTTACAAAGGAATGAACCATCTGCTTTCTTAACATTATAATTCTCATATGCAAGTTCATACATGAAGATGGTAAGATTTACCATTCTGGAAAAAATAAGGTGTGTATATCATCTGCTAGATGTGCTCACTGTATGCTCCATTATTTTTATGCAAGGCCCGGGTGACTGGAAGTGCAGTTGTCAGGCATTTTAATTAACTGGACAGCCATTTGTTTCTGCACGACAAGGCATCGTTACACTGGAGCAATCAGGAGAAAACAGGAAACAGCCAAGCACTCTGCACTGCAACACGCCACCTTAACAGCTAACCAGCATTACTCAACTGCTACACAACTGCGCCTAGTGCACAAAAATACATAAGAGAAGAGATTAGAATTGAGTCTGATAAAACAATCCTCTCAAAAGAAAAAAAAGTCAACTGTCATCTGAAAAAAGTTCTCTATGAATTTGGATGTGAAGATACTTCAGTTCAAAGCATAAAGCATTTGCAACAAAGTTTAATTTGATGCTCTGCAGAATTTTAAGAAATGAAGGCAAAATTGAGAACACTTTTCTTGACAGAGTTAGCTACTCAGCATAATGGCTGCAGTTTCCTCAGTATGAAACTTGAGGCAGCAAGTTACCAGTGTGTATTATTTCAAATAAAAAGTCAGCACTATATAAACAAAAATGAAATTTTACCTCAAATATCCAAGCCAATAATGAAATCGGTAGTCGATCACTTCACTAAATTACAAGAAATTTGAATAACAGCAACAAAATGGCACATAAAATGTAAAATCTGCCATTTGAGGCGCAACTTAAACAAGTAAAAAAAAGTTAGACAAATGTTACAAAATAACCTTTTCAACAGCTGGTTGCTTGTACCAAGGGTCTCTCCAATGGACTGAAGACTCAAGTCATCTTCTCCCAGAGGCGTCCTTTACGTAGATCTCTCATTTGTCTGATGCATCTAGGTTTGAAGAGAGAAAAGTTCAGTCAAAGTTTTCATAACACATACCTCATGTGGATGACTTCGGACATACTTCTAGTAGTTTCAGATGCCCTGGTCTAGTTTCATTAAGTTTTAAGCACGACTGTGGTGTTCCACCTCCCCCCATGGTCCAATTCAAAGACCAAATTAAACTGAATGGTTAGATATTAACAGTACTATTTATTTATCACTTTAATATATTAGAGTTGTTGTGGAGATCAGGCTGTTAGTCAAAGCACTTAACTTGAATTCAGCCCAAGTAAGAATAAGTTAACATAATGTTACAGAAAACTAATACTTTATATAAACTTAACTATTTAGTCTGCAATTGACATTCAAAACAATGTGGGAAAACATCACTACATCCAATACAGCAACTTAATGTTAGAGCTAAAGGCCCTTTCCTTTTTAATAAAAAACAGGACCAAACAGTTTGAGGGGTTAAAGACACACTATCCTTTCCCCACCCAATGCATCCTCAAAAGCTTTGTGGAATGGAGGAAAACCTGGTTTTCATCAATCTTCGTGCATTTGCTGCTTCTAGAAAGACCGTTACCTCCAGTCAGAACATCCATCCCTGTGCCACTTTTCCGGTACCAAAGGATAGTGCATCTTTAACATTTTAAAGACAAACCTGCTCCAATACACGCCCACAGAAACTGGTCCCTGGAGGATCAGCCAAATCAGTTAAAATCTGCAATACTGGTCAATATTCTTTTAGCAAACAGGAGACCGCAGCTTTAAAGGGGAAAATGCAGATGTTGGATAAATACAGTAAGAAATAGTCATTTTCATTTATAGGTCTCATACAGTATTTTATTAAAAGCAAGCCATTAATCTAAAACACCCACAAAAACGTGTCTTTTGAAGGAAGTCCTTTAGTACTTATAGCCCTAACCAAATAAATGAAAAGCACGGTTCCCCATTAGGATTCATTTGGTTCAGTCTGTTAATACTCTAAACTACCCAACAACCCACTTAAATGCTAAAACGAATTTAACATGCGGACAGTGCTGTTCCCTAGCTACCTTACCATTTTTCTAAGACGATACAGCTCCTTCCTCTTCTGGAGACTTAGGGGGGCTCTTAGACCTCGACCTGGAGTTAGATTCTCTCTTCGAGACAGGTGGAGGGCTCCTAGACCTCGACCGGGATCGCGACCTTGACCGGGATCTGGAGACGGAGGACGACTTCGATTTGGATCTCCGGGCAGACCTGGACTTAGAGGTGGAGCGCGACCTGGAGCGCGTGCGGGACCTTGACTTGGATCTGCTGTAGCGGGACCGGCTGCGGGACCTCGAGCGGCTCCTGCTCCTGGACCGGCTGCGGCGGCGTCTTCGGGGGCTGCGGTTTTCGAAATGCTTGCTTAGGCGCACTCCCTTCCCGCCCACCTGGGCAAGTGGCAGAAGCCTGCACAGCGGTTACGCCTAGCGGCAGAGGGCCCTACATGCCCCTGGGGATCCCACGTGGCTCCTGCTGTTTTCGCGCCCGTCCGAACCCCCCCCCCCCCCCCCCCCCCCGCCCCCCCCCCCCCCCCCTTCCCAGGGGCCCAGCTTCCTTTCCCTTCCAGCGGCAGCTTTGCTGGTCACCTCCCCCCACTTGTTCAGAGGCCACTGGGCACCCCTCCCGTCTTTATTTGTCCCCCACGGCTTTAAGGGAGTGTGCAGCCTCCCTACAATGCCTCGATCCACCCCCCCCTTTTAGCTGGGAACCTCGCTCCTTCCCCTCTTTATTCGCCCCCGTGTAATTAACCCGTCCCCCCTGGCTTTAAGGGGGCGTCTGTCCTCCCTACAAGGCCCAGACCCCACCAGGCGCTGACCTGCGGCTGCGGCGCCCGTATCCGCTGCTGTAGCGGCGCGGCGGCGGCCCGCGCCGACTGTGGTGCGAGTCGGGCGGGCGGCCGTAGCGGGCCATCTGCACGCGCAGCTCCCGGCCGTCCAGCACGGCGCCGTCCATGGCGTCCATGGCGTCCTCGGCGTCGCGCTTGTCGTGGAAGCGCACGAAGGCGAAGCCGCGGCTCTCCTTGGTGTAGCGGTCGCGGGGGATGTAGACGTCGCCCACGCGGCCGTACTTCTCGAAGACGCGGCGCAGCGTGTCCGGGGACGTGCGGTAGGTCAGGTTGTCCACCTTCAGGGACGTCATGCCCTCCACGTCGGGCGGCGGCCGCCCGTAGCTCATGGCGGGCAGGGGCCCCCGGGGGGCTCGACTCGGCTCAGCTCGGGAAAGGGCTCAGGCTAGCAGATCAGGCCAGAGAGGCAGAAAGCGACTGGTCGTAGGAAGGGGAAGCAAAACCGGGGACCTCCTCCGAGCACGGCTGACGAGGAAATGAGCGAGGCGCCGCCCGCGCCCTTCGACTTAACGCCACAAAATGGCCGCCCGCCCGCGACCCGGAAGCGAACCGCCGGGCCCGCGCGCGCCCCCCGATACTCTTTTTTGGGGAAGCTCGCTTTTTTTTTTCCTTTTTAAATCTTCGAGCTTCCCGCTCAGCGGCCACCGAGGAAAAGCCGCGGCACAATTAATATTTCGGCCGCGGCGCAAAGCGGCCGTTGGGTGGGGAGGAGGCCTCGCCGTGACCCGGAAGGGCTTGTCCGAGGCGGGGAAATTTTGAATGAAACGCGTGCCAAAAAATTATGATCAACCCCCCAGATTGAATAAAGCTGCGAGGTGGGGTCGGAGCTGTTGGCGGGGAAGGGAAAAAAAATGAACACGGGGGGTCGGGTCGGGCCGGGGTTAGGGAGGGGAGCGATCGCGATTCAAAATGGCGGCCGAGCAGCCGGGG